GTGGTGCAGTTACACCCTCCAATACTAGTGACTCCAGCTGTATTGGACAACAACCCCCATAATCCCCCCTACCAAAAGCTGTGTATTTACAGTCTTTGACACAGATGCCTTAGACTTCAATACTCCAAATCCCCAACCAGCTATGCATTTGATAGCCACCAATATGGCTCCCTCTAAACATGCTGGAACTACAACTCCCATAATCCCCCAACCATCTAGCAGACTTTTCCATTATAACTCCCAGCCCAGCTTGCCCCAGATGTGTTGGACTATATCTCCCATAATCCCCAACCCATTTATGGACCTTCTTTAACAACAAAGCCCTCTCTTTGGAGATGTGGTATTGCACAGCCTCCATAATCCCCACAGTGCCTCTGAGCATGCGCAGAGTGCATATTCTGAGTCACTTCTGCCGAGTCACAAACTGGGGGCCTTCCAGACCAGACACCCAACGAAGGGACTGTCCCAAACGAAGAATTTCTGAACCCGACGCAAGCTAATATTAGCTTTACAACCAAGATTCCTGACATCATGACCCCGTGCAAATGCGGAACAGATGCATGGAGTTGCATGCGGGAAATTATACTACCCGTTGACTCAAGCCCATGGCCTGCCAATGAATTGGATTGGAGCTCCTATCATCCCCCCTCCCTGAGTCCGAATCATCACTTCTTGGTGCATCTACTACACTATCGAGGCAGTGTAGTAGATGCAGTTCCACACTACTTGCACCGCATGGGTCCCAGGACACACCAAAATCCATGGATGCTCAAGTTCCATTATATGCAAGGGGCTCACAAAAGAACATGGCAAAAGCATTTTGTTGGGAGATATACATACATACATACATACATACATACATATATATATTCAAGTCAGGGCTAAACGAATCCATGGATCCACATTCCATGAATAAGGCAGGTATGGGTAGATAGGTGGGTTTTGTGTATGTTAATACAGAATCCACAGATATGGGGATGGATAGATAGATAGATAGATAGATAGAGAGAGAGAGAGAGAGAGAGAGAGAGAGAGAGATAGATAGATAGATAGATAGATCACTGGATGGATGGATGGATGAATTGATGGATGGATGGATAGATAGGTCGATAGATCAATCATTGGACCAACCTGGGCACAGCATATTATTTGAGAACACAGAAATGCTGGACCACTCTCACAACCACCATGCTAGACTACACAGAGAAGCCACTGAAATCCACAAGCACGTGGATAATTTCAACAGAAAGGAGGAAACCATGAACATTACCAGTATTAAAAAACTTTAAAATCAGGACAGCAAATAAAGAACAATGCTCAAAAAGCAGGGGTATTCCGGATAAAACAAATGAGTCCATTAGGCAGCAATCAGCCAGGCTTTGAAGCTGCAGGGCCATTAAATGCTAATTAACGTGTCCCAATTCCAACATTCATGCTTGTCTCAAGCAAACAAGAGTTCTTTCTCCCACCCTGGACATGATTCCACAGATATATAAAACCTCACTTTCCTAGTTTCCAACAGACCCCACAACCTCTGAGGATGCTTGCCATAGATGTGGGCAAAACGTCAGGAGAGAATGCTTCTGGAACATGGCCTTACAGCCCGGAAAACTCACAGCAACCCATATAGATATTAGTTTGTACGTGGATGCAGAATCTGTCAAAATGGTGACATACATTTATCACTTTTATGTATTTGGATGCAGAATCTGTTCAGACAGGTATGTATGTGTCTGCCTGTATATGTGTTATACACATACACACAGACACACATTTTATGTATTTGGGTGCTGAATCCATAAGTACAAGATATAGACATAGATAACAGTTTTGTGCATGTGGATGCAGAATCTGACAACAAAGCAATATATATTTATAATTTTTATGTATGTGGATGCAGAATCTGTTGATATGGGGAGATATAGCTGTATACATATGTGTTTCAAATCTGTAGACATGTGTAAGTCTGTGTCTGTATATATAAGCATTTGTGTGTATATACATGTGTGTGTGTGTGTATGTCTATTATATATTCACACACACACTCATTTTGTGTATTTTGATGTGGAGTCAACAGATACAAAGATATAGATATTCGTTTCAAGTATGTGGATGTAGATTCTGTCAGTATGATGACATACATTTATCACTTTTATTTATGTGCGTGCAGAATCTGTTGATATAGGTATGTATGTGTGTCTATGTGTATATTTATGTGTATATATGTATGTATAAGTATTTGTATATGTCTATGAGTATGTGTATTATACTGACACACACACACACTTTATGTATTTGGATGCAGAGTCAATGCATACAAAGATATAAATACTAGTTTTAAGTATGTGGATTCAGAATCTGTTAGTATGACGACATACATGTTTCACTTTTATGTATGTGCATGCGGAATCTGTTAATATAGGTATGTATGTGTCTGTATATATGTGTATATATGTATAAGCATTTGTATATATCTATGTGTATGTGTATTACACACACACATTATGTATTTGGACGCAGAGTCAATGCATACAAAGATATAGATATTAGTTTTAAGTATGTGGATTCAGAATCTGTCAGTATGACGACATACGTTTTTCACTTTTATGTATTTACATGCAGAATCTGTCAGTATGATGACACACATTTTTCACTTTTATGTATATACATGCAGAATCTGTTGATATATGTATATATCTATGTGTATGTGTATTATACACACACACACATTATGTATTTGGACGCAGAGTCAATGCATACAAAAATATAGATACTAGTTTTATGTATGTACATGCAGAATCTGTCAGTATGGCGACATACATTTTTCACTTTTATGTATCCACATGCAGAATCTGTTTAAAATCTTAAAAGATGATGCTGTCAAGGTGATGCATGCCATATGCCAGCAAATATGGAAAACACAAGAATGGCCATCAGACTGGAAAAATCAACTTATATCCCCATACCAAAAAAAGGGAAATGCGAAAGACTGCTCAAACTTCCGTACAGTGGCCCTTATTTCTCATGCCAGTAAGGTAATGCTCAAGATCCTGCAAGGAAGACTCCAGCAATACATGGAGCGAGAGTTGCGAGATGTTCAAGCTGGGTTTAGAAAAGGCAGAGGAACGAGAGACCAGATTGCCAATATCCGCTGGATAATGGAGAAAGGCAGGGAGTTTCAGAAAAACATCTACTTCTGCTTCATTGACTATTCTAAAGCCTTTGACTGTGTGGATCATCATAAATTGTGGCAAGTTCTTAGTGGGATGGGCATCCCAAGGCACCTTGTCTCTCTCCTGAGGAATCTGTACAAGGACCAAGGAGCAACAGTCAGAACTGACCACGGAACAACAGACTGGTTCAAGATTGGGAAAGGCGTACGGCAAGGCTGCATCCTCTCACCCAACCTTTTTAACTTGTATGCAGAACACATCATGCGATGTGCGGGGCTTGATGAATGCAAAGCTGGGGTGAAAATTGCTGGAAGAAACATTAACAACCTTAGATATGCAGATGACACCACTTTGATGGCCGAAAGCGAGGAGGAGCTGAGGAGCCTTCTAATCAAGGTGAAAGAAGAAAGCGCAAAAGCTGGGTTGCAGTTAAACATCAAAAAAACCAAGATTATGGCAACAGAATGATTGACAACTGGCAAATAGAGGGAGAAACATGGAGGCAGTGACAGACTTTGTATTCTAGGTGCAAAGATTACTGCAGATGCAGACTGTGGCCAGGAAATCGGAAGACGCTTACTTCTTGGGAGGAGAGCAATGTCCAGTCTCAATAAAATAGTAAAGAAAGAGTAGAGACATCAGACTGGCAACAAAGATTCGCATAGTCAAAGCCATGGTATTCCCTGTAGTAACCTACGGATGTGAGAGCTGGACCTTAGGGAAGGCTGAGCGAAGGAAGATCGATGCTTTTGAGCTGTGGTGTTGGAGGAAAGTTCTGAGAGTGCCTTGGACTGCGAGAAGATCCAACCAGTCCATCCTCCAGGAAATAAAGCCCGACTGCTCACTGGAGGGAAAGATACTAGAGACAAAGTTGAAGTACTTTGGCCACATCATGAGGAGACAGGAAAGCCTAGAGAAGACAATTATGCTGGGAAAGTGGAAGGCAAAAGGAAGAGGGGCCGACCAAGGGCAAGATGGATGGATGGCATCCTTGAAGTGACTGGACTGACCTTGAAGGAGCTGGGGGTGGTAACGGCCGACAGGGAGCTCTGGCGTGGGATGGTCCATGAGGTCACGAAGAGTCGGAGACGACTGAACGAATGAACAACAACATAGACATATATATATATGTAGGTGTCTGTGTATATGTGTGTGGGTATATATATAATAAACAAATGCATAGATACACATCTATGTGTATTTGTATTATACACACACTCTCTTTATGTATTTGGATGCAGAGTCAATGCATACAAAGATATAGATATTAGCAGTATGTGGATGCAGAATCTGTAAGTATGACGACATGCATTTATCCCTTTCATATATGTGCATGCAGAACCTGTTGATATAAGCATATATGTGTCTGTATATATGTGTGTGTGTATTATACACACACACACACACTTTATGTATTTTGCTGCAGAATCAATAAAGAGAGAGAGAGAGGGAGGGATGGCCCTCCATATCCAAAGATTCTTCATCCACGTATATACAACTGATCTGTGTGTGTACACAACCACAACACGACTGCGCCACTTTCTGTGCTGGCAGGGGCCCAGTCACATGGCTCTGGCCTCCGCATGACACAATGGCAAGGACATCCTGAACCGTGGCATATAAATAGGTGCCAGCATGATCCGGCAGGGAGGCCGTGACTGAATTTCCAAATGCCAAACAGGTTGGGTATCCCAAGTCAGGAGACTCCTCACTGACCAGGGGCCCCCAAGGTGGGTCCCCAGGTTTGTTCACCTCTGCTGTTGACCTTTGGAAACCTGCGTCTCCCCTCAAATCCAGGCCTCAAGCCTCCCCTCCAGCCCCGGTTACCTCCTCATCCTCCTCATCCTCTCCAGGGATCTTTCGGAATCCACCGGATGGCATCTTCTCAGCCGGACGGTCCCGAGTTCGAATCTAGAATCTAGATTCCTAGAGTCCTTGTATAGCTATAAATCCCAAATCAAGGCTGAAGGTGGGAGCAAGAGGTGAGATGTGGAAGAAAGAGAAGGGAGAAGAAAGAGGGAAGAGAGGAGGAGGGAGGAGTAAAGGAAGGGGGGAGAGAGGAGAAAGAGGAGAAGGAGGGAAAAGAGGAGGAAGAAGAAGGGAAGAGAGAAGGCAGGAGAAAGAGGTAAAAGACAATAAAGAAGAAAGGGAGAAAGAAGTGAACAGTAAAGGAAGAGAGGAGAAATGAAAACAGGAGAAGATAGGAAAGAGGAAGAAAAAGAAGGGCAGAGGGAAGACAGGAGGAAGAAGAAGGGAAGAGGGAAGAAAGAAAGAAAAGAGGGAAGGGAAGAAGAAAAGAAAGAAGTGGAAGAGAGGGAAGAGAAGGGAAAGAGGGAAGAGAAGGGGAGGGAAGAAAGAAAAGAAAGAGGAAAGAAGAAAGTGAACAGTAAAGGAAGAGAGGAGAAATGAAAACAGGAGAAGGGAGGAAAGAGAAAGAGGAAGAAGAAGGAAAGAGGGAAGACAGGAGAGAGAGGGTAAAAGACAAAAAAGAAGAAAAGAGAGAGAAGACAAGACAAAGAAGAAGGGAAAAGAGAAGAAAGAAGGAAGGAGAAAGGGATCTAAGAGAAAGCGGAAGAAGAAGGTAAGAGAGAAGCCAGGAGAGAGAGGATAAAACACGAAAAAGAAGAGAGAAGACAAGACGAAGAAGAAGGAAGAGAGAAGAAAGAAGGAGGAGAAATCAAGAGGAGAAAGAAGGAAAACAGGAGAAGAAGGGAAGAGAGAAGGCAGGAGAAAGAGGTAAAAGACAACAAAGAAGAAAGAGGGAAAGAAGAAGTGAACAGTAAAGGGAGAGAGGAGAAATTAAAACAGGAGAAGGGAGGAAAGAGAAAGAGGAAGAAGAAAGGAAGAGAAGACAGGAGAAAGAGGGCAAAAGCTGAAAAAGAAGAAAAGAGAGAGAAGACAGGAGAAAGAAGAAGGGAAGAGAGAAGAAGAAGGGAGAAATGAAGAGGGGAGAAAAGAAGGGAAAGAGGAGAAAGAAGAAGGGAAGAGAGAAGGGAGAAATGAAGCGGGGAGAAAGAAGGGAAAGAGGAGAAAGAAGAAGAGAAGAGAGGTGGCAGGAGAAAGGAGAGAAAGAAGTAAAAGTCAAGAAAGAAGGAAAGAACAGTAAAGAAAGAGAGAGTTGAAAACAGGAGAAGCGAAGGAAAGGGAAGAAGAAGAAGGGAAGAGAGAAGAAAGAAGGAAGACTAATGGAAGAAGGGAGAAATGAAGAAAGAAGGAAAAGAGGAAGAGAGGAGAAAGAGGGCAAAAGACAGGAAAGCAGAAGAAAGAGGGAAAGTAGGAGAAAGAAAATAGAAGGAAGGGAAGAGAAAAGAAAGTGGGAGAAGGGAAGGAAAAGGGAAGGAAGGAGGGAAAGATGAAAAGATAGAAGGGTTTGAAGGAAGAAGGAGAGGTCAGAACAAGCTGAAGGAAGGAGAAGAAAGAGAAAGCAGGGAAAGCGCAGAAGGAAGAAAGGAAGGTGAGTGAAGAAGGGAAAGAATGAGAAAAGAGGGAGAAAAGGAGGGGAAGAGAAGAGTGAAGGGATGAAAAACCCAAAGGAAAGAAGACAGGGAAAGGCAAAAAGGAAGGCGAGGAAAGCGACGGTGAAAGTCCGACCGACTTGAGGGGGGGTCTCTGGAGAACCTGCAGGAGGCACAGACCTCCCTCCAGGCCTTGGCCACGCCCCCCAAGCCTCCCATTGGCTGCCTTCGCACCCCACCCGCCCCCAGGGAGTTAAAAGGGGGGGCACAGGGAAGGGGGCTTCTCCATGAAGCAGGTGCATGGGGGAGGCATGAGAGACAGAGAGGGAGCAGCCCAAGGTTTTTTGCCGCCTGAAGCACAGGGAAAGCAGGTGCATATTGGCACCTGTCCCCAGGTAAGGGCAGGCTAAGTTGCATATTGCACATTATTTATTTATTTATTTATTTATTTACTTTGCTTATATACCGCTGTATCTCAAGCCCGAAGGCGACCCACAGCGGTTCACAAACAGTAGAAACAGTAGAAACAGCAGTGGTTCCATACAACATATAACAATTGACTTAACACATTATCCATAAATTACCAATAAGCAATTACAATGCACAATTATTACAAAAAACAACCGTACCCAATCTTCTCATCATCCAAGCGTAGTCCAGGTTCGTCGTCCATTGTTCCATTCCTATGTTCCATTACCAGATTGTACTAAATTACTCAAACGCCTGCACAAACATCCAGGTCTTCACCTTTAGTTGCATATTGCACATTGACACCTGTCCCCAGGTAAGGGCAGGTTTAGTTGCATATTGCACATTGACACCTGTCCCCAGGTAAGGGCAGGCTTAGTTGCATATTGCACTTGACACCTGTCCCCAGGTAAGGGCAGGCTTAGTTGCATATTGCACATTGACACCTGTCCCCAGGTAAGGGCAGGCTTAGTTGCATATTGCACATTGACACCTGTCCCCAGGTAAGGGCAGGTTTAGTTGCATATTGCACATTGACACCTGTCCCCAGGTAAGGGCAGGCTTAGTTGCATATTGCACATTGACACCTGTCCCCAGGTAAGGGCTGGTTTAGTTGCATATTGCACATTGACACCTGTCCCCAGGTAAGGGCAGGTTTAGTTGCATATTGCACATTGACACCTGTCCCCAGGTAAGGGCAGGTTTAGTTGCATATTGCACATTGACACCTGTCCCCAGGTAAGGGCAGGCTTAGTTGCATATTGCACATTGACACCTGTCCCCAGGTAAGGGCAGGCTTAGTTGCATATTGCACATTGACACCTGTCCCCAGGTAAGGGCAGGTTTAGTTGCATATTGCACATTGACACCTGTCCCCAGGTAAGGGCAGGCTTAGTTGCATATTGCACATTGACACCTGTCCCCAGGTAAGGGCAGGTTTAGTTGCATATTGCACATTGACACCTGTCCCCAGGTAAGGGCAGGCTTAGTTTTGCATTTTGCATATTGACACCTGTTCCCAGGTAAGGGCAGGCATTTAAGGTGCTGCATCGTGAAGCCCCCAAATTTTCCTTAATTTCCGTTTTAAAAGTTTTATTATTATTATTATTATTATTATTATTATTATTATTATTATGTTATTATTATACTATGTGACATGGTTTTTGTTCCTGGGTTACAAATGTCATTTCCTAATTGGTTCTTTTTTTCTATTTGATCAGAATATATAATTAATCATTTTTCCAGAAGTAAGAAAATAAAGAACCCACATCTAGGTCGGGAAAGTACATGATATTTAGGAAAACAAATGAACAAAATCTGGCTACCAGTATTAAAAAAATCTCTAAATTACAACAGCAAAACAACAGAGAGGAAAAAAAATCAGGGACATCTAATCACCTCTCAACAAAAGATTGCCCCAGGCACTGCCAGGCCATCAAATGCTAATCAAGGTGGTCAGTTGAAACATTCACACCTAGCTCCAGCAGACAAGAGTCCTTTGTCCCACCCTGGTCATTCCACAGATATATAAACCCTTTTTCCTAGTTCCAACAGACCTCACTACCTCCGAGAATGCTTGCCATAGATGCAGGCAAACCGTCAGGAGAGAATGCCTCTAGAACATGGCCATATAGCCCGAAAAACCTACAACAACCCACTGTTAACACTTTGCATACTCTGTCTATCTATCTATCTATCTATCTATCTATCTATCTATCTATCTAATCTATACACATAGATAGCCCCAGTGGTGCAATAGGTTAAAGGGCTGAGCTGCTGAACTTGCTGATCATAAGGTCACAGGTTCGAATCCAGGGAGTGGGGTGAGCTCCCTCTGTTAGCCCCAGCTTCTGCCAACCTAGCAGTTCGAAAGCATGTAAATGTGAGTAGAATCATAGAATCATAGAATCAAAGAGTTGGAAGAGACCTCATGGGCCATCCAGTCCAACCCCCTGCCAAGAAGCAGGAATATTGCATTCAAATCACCCCTGACAAATGGCCATCTAGCCTCTGCTTAAAAGCTTCCAAAGAAGGAGCCTCCACCACACTCCGGGGCAGAGAGTTCCACTGCTGAACGGCTCTCACAGTCAGGAAGTTCTTCCTAGTGTTCAGATGGAATCTCCTCTCTTGTAGTTTGAAGCCATTGTTCCATTGCGTCCAAGTCTCCAGGGAAGCAGAAAACAAGCTTGCTCCCTCCTCCCTGTGGCTTCCTCTCACATATTTATACATGGCTATCATATCTCCTCTCAGCCTTCTCTTCTTCAGGCTAAACATGCCCAGCTCTTTAAGCCGCTCCTCATGGGGCTTGTTCTCCAGACCCTTGATCATTTTAGTCGCCCTCCTCTGGACACATTCCAGCTTGTCAATATCTCTCTTGCAATTGTGGTGCCCAGAATTGGACACAATATTCCAGGTGTGGTCTAATCAAAGCAGAATAGAGGGGTAGCATTACTTCCCTAGATCTAGACACTATGCTCCTATTGATGCAGGCCAAAATCCCATTGGCTTTTTTTTGCCGCCACATCACATTGTTGGCTCATGTTTAACTTGTTGTCCACGAGGACTCCAAGATCTTTTTCACACGTACTGCTCTCGAGCCAGGCATTGTCCCCCATTCTGTATCTTTGCATTTCATTTTTCCTGCCAAAGTGGAGTATCTTGCATTTGTCACTGTTGAACTTCATTTTGTTAGTTTTGGCCCATCTCTCTACTCTAGATCAATAGGTACCGCTCCAGCGGGAAGGTAACTGCGCTCCATGCAGTCATGCCGGCTACATGACCTTGGAGGCGTCTACGGACAACGCCGGCTCTTTGGCTTAGAAATGGAGATGAGCACCACAGTCCCAGAGTCGGACACGACTAGACTTAATGCCAAGGGGAAACCTTTACCTATTACACATAATAAAAGTGAAAATATGTATTGTGTATGTGGCTGTGGTATCCACTTACACAGACAGGCTCCTGCCTCCTCAGACAGCTATAGCTCCCACTACGCAGGCAACACCAATGGCCCTCCCTCCAATGATATTGCAGGCTATAGTGAGCACCATGAACATGTGCAAGAGCCCTGCAAATGTCCTCCATAAACACAACACTGCCCACCACCCAAGTAAAGGCTTTCATATGGGGACAATATCATCCTAGATTGTATGTTTTTCCTCCACCACAGACACCCCAGTGTTTCTGACTCTCTCCATTGGTGTGGAATTTGCATGGCCCCACCCATTGCCTTTCCCTTAACCCTTTCCTATTATTTTCTATGGCACACAGCAAACAGAGGAATTGATCAGCAACACAGCAGAAGAGACTTAAAAAGCCCCCCCTAAAAAAAACACATT